AACTGTAGTACAAACTCCAGAGTTTTATTAAAATATAAGGTTGTAAAATGTAATTTACTCCTAAAAATATATTATTGCTTTAACAACCCCAAGAAAAAAGTGTTCGTATAAATTGCAATGTTTTATTTAATACATAATTTAATTTAAATGACTCAATAATAGATTTAGGATGTGTATTCTAGTGTTTATTACAATTTTTTTTAAGTCAAATTGATCTTCTTTTAGTGACTTATTATTACTATAATTTTAATTTACTGATTATTTGAAGTTAGGGGTGTCAAAAAAATCCGGAAAACTATGAAATCAAGCTGAGCCGTTTATTCGAAACCGAAATAACTGATAACCGAAAAATCTGAAAATCAAAAATCTGAAACCGAAAAAAGCGGGTAGTCACAGGTCGAACTGAACCGGATATAATGTATATATGATATTAAATATATACTATTATTTATTTATTAACTAAAAGTCAATTATGTTTTAATATCAAACATTATGGTGGATGATTAAACTTAGTGGTATAAGTTCGTGAAGAAGTCAACATTAACCGAAAAATGAATGTTTTTAAACAATTAAACTTATTATAATTTGGAGTGTTTTGATTATTTTTATTTAATTCTTGTGTAATTGTTTTAAATATTATATTTTAGTACCATTTTTATATCCCAAATAATATTTTATATATTCATATAATCATGAACGAACCATGGGTAACTGTCTTATTTTGGTTCGGTTCAGCTTGGTTTGATTCAACCTACAGTTCGGTTTCATTCTAGCAGCCATGTATCCATCCTATATAGTTCGGTTTACATTTTCATTACTAACCGAACCTAACCATAAACACTGCTATTTGTAATAAAAAGTAACGTAATATTAAATATATGATCCACTATCTATTTATTGAGATTTTAGTCAACTACATGATCCCTGATTAAAAGAAAATTAACTTCGAATTTAATTGAAATATAACTTAAAATTATCTATATTATATCATAAAGCATTTGACAAAAACTCTTGAAAACCATTTTTTATGCATAAAGTATTGTATATTGATGGATATTACTTAAAATTTAAGATTACAAATAAACTCTACGTAAGTACAACTTATTAAAGATTTATGTTCGAAATCATGTAACTAACTGCAGATAAACATAGTCAAATGCAAGATAAACATTTCATTTTAAATATAAAAAATCTAAATATAATTAGGATAATTATTGAGTTCTAACAGAATACTTAATTATTATTCTTATAAAAAATTATATTATTAAATCAAAAATAAATTCTTTCGTTATTAAATATAAATTAAATTATAGCAAAAAAATTGAGTTAAGATATTACACAAAAAACAAGAACTTTTAAAAAAGTTAATTTGATATTAATATTGATATATATATTTTCGAAATGTTATGATATCTTCAAATTTATATTTTATTCAAAAATAAAAACATTATCTCCTTTTCAAAAGCACATAAAAGTCATAATATTATATCTACAGAAACGAAACAAAATAAAACATTAAGATCGATATATATATCTTGTTGTATTGCGCGAGTACCCTTCTAGTATATCTAAGTATTTATATTTAAGAAATTAGTTATTAAGATAGACATAAAATTATTTAACTCTGTTTGCGTTTAAGGACAATTTTTTAAGTAAAGTTCAAATTTGGTCCTTAAAGTCTGTATTTTTCAACAGTCTCTAAACTTCACTAAACTCGAATTTGGTCCTTTCATGTTTATCATTTCCAACAGATTTTGGCCTCCGTTTAACGATGATTAACTTTTGCCATTAAGCTACCCCTGCATTTGAACTTGGTGGATGACCAACCAATTCTTTTCTCCCTTGAGATAAATTGATGTTTTTGGAGACATTTGAAATTGTGTTTGATTTGAGATTTTTATTTTACATTTTGTGTTTTGATTGATGGACAGTGGTGTTAAGTGGTGGATGGTTGAGGATAAGGGTGCTCAAATACCCGACCAACCTGATTAATCCAACCTAACCCAACGCTAAATAACTCAATCCGAAGCAACCCAACGTCTAATGGAGTTGTAAAATTTTCAAACGATAGGTATTTGGTTGATATTGAGTTACTATTATTTGAACCAACTCAACCCGATGAACCCGATATTCTTTTATTTCTTGGATTTAATATGATTGTCGAATTTCTGTTAATATATACATTAGACAATTACACTATCATGTATGCTCTTTATGTACACCTATTTTCAATCTATTCACATCTCTATATAACTCATTCGTATATATGTTCAGTAACTGTGAACATGTATACGTAAGAAATATGAGTAAATTGTATCAAATGATTAATAATGAAAAATAAATTATGAGTAGAGAAATAACATATTCTGGATTATAATAATATTTTAATGTACCAAAATATCAACTCGACCAACCCGTACGGTTTGGGTTGGGTTGGGTTGGGTTGCACTTTGATTTGGGTTGGGTAGGATTAAGATTTTTCAAAACGCAAGCATTAGGTTGAATTGTTCAAATGTCTTCAACCCATGAGCACCCTTCGTTGAGGATGTTTGACAACAATGGTTAAGGATGGTGGTTAACGTGTTGGGCAGTGTTTGTGTTATATGTATATAATAAAAAATAGGTAAAATGATTAAAATATCCCATATTTAATCAGATTTAATAAAAAAAGTTAACAAACATTAAATAGAGAGACGAAATCCTTTGAGAGGTGACCATGACCAGCCCTGACGTTTAGTAGGCCCCGTGCAAAAACCAAATGTGACCTTATATTTCTTATTAAAATTTTTATTACTCGACTCACAAATAAAAAATTTAAAATATTGAAGTATAAAAATTATAAACAAGATTCAAATAAAAATAAAATAGACATTTACATCGTTATATTAATGCTCACAAATCTTCTACAATTAATCTGTTGATAAGTATAAAAAGTTAATTAATAACAAATTAAAAATAGTCACATAATAGGTATAACGTACAATACATAACACAAATAGTTTTTTTTTTATTAACCTGGATATCCAACCCGTTATACGAGGCGACTAATCTCAGGACGACCACCTGTTTTGCAGATAGTCCGGAGTCACCGCATTTGAACCTCCGTGGCCACAAGAGAATTTTTATTCCTCCCTGGATTTGAACCAGTGGTTCTTCGTTCTTCAATAATAAATTGGCACTACTTTATACGTTTCTTTCAAAATAAGACAAACGTCTGAGCATTGCTAGTTTCTGAACATAGATCTTCCAGCATTCTTAGAAGCAAAATCATCTATCATACTTTTATGATCAAGATTTGCTAGAAAACTCTAAATCAAAGCCGAAATAGCTGATTACAAATAAGATTTCAAAAGTTTTAGTTTTGAACAGCTTCTTTCAGCTAATGCAACCGTAACCGGAATAGTAAACAAAATTCTATATGCAAGACATGGAACTCTATAAGTATTTATATTTTCTAAGAGATTTAGGGTCCGTTTACCAAATACTTACCCGGTAAGCAGTTACCTGTAAATTTAACACTATCATTTACTTACCGGATAAGATTTTAGTCCACCAAAACGGTATCGTATGCAACAATTTATCCGGTAAGCGCTTACCATGGTAAGAGTCATCGCCCTCACTCACGGGGTAAGATTTTTGATCCTTACCATATTCATCCGGTTAGATAAAATGACTTGTTGTTCACTTAGCTGAGTAAGCGTTTGATAAACAGCTCCTTAATATTGCACAAGTTGTATTGTATTCGGTTAATGTTTTTTTAGTAGTTTAAATGCATTAAATAAATCATCATTATCAATATCTCAGATGAACTGATAAATATTTTTGGCATTCCTATTTTTATATAAAAATAAGCAACTATAATTATTATTTTTTTCTAAATTTGACTAAATAATTAAAAAGAGTTGTATAATAAAATAATTAATAAATAGATAAATAATATTAAATTGTTTATTGTAGAATATTAAATTTGTACATAAAAGTGGAAGAACCAAATTTTGTGGTGGCCATTTGAAAATCAAGGAGAAGAATTGGTTGTTTGATTTTTTTTTCTCAAAAACAATTGAAAGGTCATATGGGAAAAAAAAAGAACAAACAACACAATATTTTCATCAAAAGCCTAATTTATTAAAACATTTATAAAAATAAAAAAATATTTATAAAGGCATTTGAATCCAGGGTTTCCTAATAAAAGAGGACTACTTTTGCCATTTTGGAGGCCCTATGCGACAGTACCACACGTACACCCCAGGGACATGTCTGGAAGTGACAAATGTGAGGGATCAAATTTGAGTCTTTGAAGTTTAAAAACGATATCTGTTGAAAATTATAAACTTTAGGGACCAAAATTAAAATTTACTCAATTTTTTATTGGTAAAACTTGAGTAAACTACAAATTTGATCCCGATTCGTGTGATTTATCAAAAACAACACTTTTCGTCTCCTCAGTTTCAAAATTACCAGATGTTTTCGTAGTTTGCAGAAAAGTCTGGATTTGGCCCTTCCTTGAATGGTCGTTACAAGAATTCCGTTAAGTAAGGGACATTTTCTCCCTCTTTATCAATTTTTTTTCTTTTAGCCAATCAAATTCGATTTTACAATTCGGTCATGTGGTTTTTGATTGAGCAAATAACAAAAAATCAACAAAAAAACGAAAATACCGCTAGTTTAACGAAAATTTTTAACAGCCATTAAATGAATAAACCAAATCCAAACATTTTCACAAATCGTGATGACCATTTTATGATTTAATAACTGCAAGAATAAAAATTATTATTTTTGACAAACCACGTAGACCAAATTTGTAGTTTACTATAAAAACTTACGGAAATGGAACCACACTATTATTTTTATATCAATTAGATGATGTTGAAAACTTCCTTCTTTGATTTTTTCAATGGCTTAAATATATAAAATGTTGGAATTTATTAAAGAATGAAAATATTTATTTGACCAAGAGTATAATATCAAATAAAATGAAAACTGAACTACAATATGAACTTACCCAAAATACTCAATTTTGATCATCACAAACAGCAAACATGCTCTTATTCTTCATAGTTGTGTATCTGTCATACCTTCCATTCTCGCAGGCAGCAACCACTAATGTCACCACAACGACCAACAATAATAACATTGCAATTCCTGGTTGCCCAAGTAAATGTGGCCACCTCACTGTACCATACCCCTTCGGCATCGGATCTAACTCAGGTTGTTCACTTGGCCCTTGGTATGACATCACCTGCAACACATCCTTCAATCCCCCCAGAGCCTTTCTGCCGGCCATTCTATTTTCGTACACCGGAGACAACAATTTTCATCAGGTTGAGGTGGTAGATATCTCTGATGAGCATGTGAGAGTAAAAAACACGGTTGCTACCAAGTGCTACAGTCAAATTGGTGAGACTATTTATCAAAGCTCTTCCGGCCTTGTGGTGGCGGAATCTTGCTTCACCTTGTCGGAATTGAATAAACTGATAGTTGTTGGGTGCGACGACTTTTCGCTCGTATCTCCGGTGGGGGCGATCGAAGGCAAGAATTTCAGCTACGGATGTGTTACGATATGCTCTAGCGTTCAAGATGTTCTCGTTGGTTCATGTGCAGGTTTTGATTTATTTGTTGCTCTCAAACAAAACAACTTTTTAAGAGTAAATTACACTTTTGGTCCATATGGTTTCTATTCATTATCAAGTCTAGCCCCTACTTTAAATTAGTTACACTTTTAGTCCGTGTGGCTAACGGTGTTAACAAGGTCTCCAAGGCATTTTGCTATTTTCTCATTTATTTAATTTTATATTAGAAAATTAAACAAAATATTATTATATTATGTGTACCAGTCCATGTTTAAATTTCTCATATTTGATACTCGTAAAAACAAACTCTTAAAAATATGAGATATTATAAATATGGATCATTTTGGATCAAATGTCGTGTTTAACGAATTTGATTTAAAATATCTTATATAAGGAAAGAAAAAAGGTCCTAAATTTTCTTTCGGAACATGAAAAGAGATGTGATCATATTCCTCAAATAGGGACGGAGGAGGAGATTGTGGTCCCCACCCCGAACATAATTAGACTTGCAAACAATTTGTAATATTTGTTAATAAACAAATTGATAGTTGTAAGGGGTTGTTTACCAAACACTTACCCGAGTAAACGTTTATCAAGTCACATTACCTCACAGGATGAATATGGTAAGGACTAAAAATCTTACCCGGTAAGAGCGAGACAAGGACCATGAGTCTTACCTGGTAAGTGAGGGCGACGACTTTTACCACGGTAAGCGCTTACCGGGGTAAATTGTTGCATACAATATCGTTTTGATGGATTAAAATCTTACCCGATAAGTAAATAATAATATTAAATTTTACCGGTACGCACTTATCAGTAAGTGTTTGGTAAACGAACCCTAAATGAATCTTTATGTAAAAAAATAGCTTATTGCTTATACATTTTCATATAATCTAAGTATGGTAATTCCTACCTATTGATTTATATGAATATAATCATTTTGGATTATATTTTAATTTGTAATTTTTAAAGTTAAAATCGACATTATAAGAAGATTGAGTTTATAATACGTTTAAAATGTCTAAACATTCTAATAGATTCCTTTATAGGAATTAAGCTTATGAGGTCAAATAATAAAACATCCTATTTAAAAGTGCAACAATAGGTTTATAGGATGTTTTTGGGTGTTCTAACAAATTTTTAGGATATATTTTTAAAATAAAGTGTCATATTAGTTATTTTATAAGTTATTTTTTAAAACATTCTGTAAAATCATCTTTTTATAAGACATCTGACATGATGTTTTTTCAAATAATAAATAGTTAATATGACACTTTATTTTAAAAAACTTGTTAAAACATAGAAATGTCCTATAAATTTATTGTAACACTTTGAGATAATAACGCCTTTTGAATCTTATATCATAGAAACAACTTGAATTCCCGTTTACTTAACACGATGACGGGCCCCATTTTTTTCCAGGTATGGGGTGTTGCGCAACGAGCTTGCCCACAGGTTTAACAACTTACCTTGCGAATGTACGCACACTCAAAAACCACACCGAAATATGGTCTTTCAACAAATGTGGCTACACTTTCCTTGGTGAGGAAAGTGCATTTACGTTTCGGGGTGCTTCTGATTTCACAGATCCTGACTTTGTCGCTCGAACAATCGAGACTGTTCCGTTGGTGCTTAATTGGGTGATTGGCAGTAGGAGTTGTGATGCGTATAAAAATACGAGCGATTATCATTGTCAACAGAATAGTGTTTGTGTCGATTTTGGGAGCGGCAACGGAGGTTATAGGTGCTCATGTAACAATGGGTATCAAGGCAATCCCTATCTTTATCCTGGTTGCTATGGTGGGTAACATTTGCAGTAGTTCCCTAATGAATATGGGTTTTGAAGGTCTTTAGTTGTATTTTGTAATATGTTTGTTTTTATTGTGCAGACATTGACGAGTGTGCAGATGATATGAAGAATCCATGTAATGGAAGTTGCAGTAATCTTCCAGGCAGTTTCAATTGTTCGTGCCCTCATGGCTACGAAGGAGATGGGAGAAAGGATGGGAATGGTTGTAGGGCCACCAATTCGAAATCTCCAGCCCTTAAGTTGTCTCTTGGTGAGGAAATTCATGATGGATTATCCCTTAGCCAAACTGAGTTTTTTTTTCTTGATATATATATATATATATATATATATATATAGAGAGAGAGAGAGAGAGAGAGAGAGAGAGAGAGAGAAGTTCAAGTTTGAAAACCAATTTTTAGTTGTGAACCGGGAGACAAAAGAGAGCGCTATACACGTCTCGGGCGTCCACATTCGGTGTGAATAACGAAAAACATTTAGTATGAATAACGAAGATGAACTTCATGAACTATTCATGATGAATGATGCAACATCTAAGATGGAGAATACATGATGAATAATACATGATCCATATGATTCCCTATTTATGATGAATAATACATGATCCATGTTAAATTGATTCAATATTCATGATGAATAATAAACATTCATCATGAATAACTTGTGGACACATGGGACATGTGTTGCGCTCTCTTTTGTCTCCCGATTCAGAACTGAAAATCGGTTTTCATTTGAACCCGCCTATATATATATATATATATATATATATAGAGAGAGAGAGAGAGAGAGAGAGAGAGAGAGAGAGAGACTTTCTTTTGAGAACTCATGAGATTGTGATAACCTTGAAAACTTGTGGATCATGTATTATTTCATATGATTTTTTCCATCTAAGATTAGGATTTAGAATATTCATTAATATATATTTATTTCACAATGTGATTCTTTCACATGTACTCGGTTCATAATGTAAGCTTTTTTATGTGTTTGTGAAACAAAAAATACTTGTTAAAAAGTTTCACATTATGAATCCAATATATATGAAATAAATATATTTTGAAATAAATATATTTTGAAATAAATATATTTTGAAATAAATATATGTTAATTAATACGTTAAATATTATACTTAGATGGAGAAAAAATCATATGAAATAACACATGATGCACAAGTTCTCAAGGTTATCAAAATATCATGGGTTATCAAAAGGTTAAGCCCATACACACACACACACAAGAACGAATGATCAAAAACGTCGTGTATATATATATATGCAGGAATGGGGTTCGGATTCTTGTCTCTACTGATCGGAATGGGATTCTTGTATTTCAGCCACCAGAGAAGAAAGGTTATCAAATTGAGGGAGAAGTTCTTCCTAAAAAATGGTGGCTTGTTGCTGAAACAACAAATTGATTCGAATGAGGGTGGCGGTGTCAATCAGTCGACAAAAATTTTCACCACTGACGAGCTAAGAAAAGCAACAAAAAACTTCTCTGTAGATAGGATCCTTGGTCGTGGTGGCTATGGGATAGTGTATAAAGGGATCTTACCTGATGGAAGTATTGTTGCCATAAAGAAGTCACGAATGATGGATGAGACTCAGATCGACCAATTTATCAATGAAGTTGTCATTCTTTCACAAATTAACCATCGAAATGTTGTGAAGCTCTTAGGTTGTTGCTTGGAGAGTGAAGTTCCATTACTTGTCTATGAATGTGTTTCCAATGGCACTCTCTTCCATCATATCCACACTGATAGTGGAGTGTCTTGGTTATCTTTGGATAATCGTTTAAGGATAGCCGTTGAGTCCGCTGGTGCGCTTGCTTACCTCCACTTTGCAGCTCAAAAGCCCATCATCCATCGAGATGTCAAATCTGCCAACATACTATTAGATGAAAACTTGGTCACAAAAATTTCGGACTTTGGAGCTTCAAGGTTGATACCCTTGAATCAAACGCAAGTGACAACATTAGTTCAAGGGACATTAGGATATCTAGATCCTGAATACTTTCACACGAGCCAACTAACAGATAAAAGTGATGTTTATAGCTTTGGAGTTGTGCTTCTAGAGCTTCTAACAGGAAAGAAGCCGCTTTGCATGGAACGAAGTCAAGAGGAAAGAAACATAGCGACCTATTTTCTTGTTTCTTTGAGAACGAATAACTTACTTCAAATTCTTGACCCTCGAGTGGTTAGAGAGGGTTCGCTCGACCAACTCCAAGAAATAGCGTCGCTAGTGAAGCGCTGCCTCAGCATGAATGGATACGACAGACCAACAATGAAGGAAGTGGCTATGGAGTTAGAAAGCTTAAGGAAATTCACGAAGCAGCCATGGGTTAATCAACATGGTAACGAAGATGGTTTGAGCCGAATGAGCGAGGGCGAACAATCTGACCTCTATAATGTCTCATTATCAAATCTCAATTGGTCAGATCAAATAGCTTTGTTGTACCCTGTCGATGAACCTAGATGAGTAGCCGATGTTACAACCATAAAACCCACATCTATAGTAGTATGTTCTTTCTAGGTAACATTGGGTTTCCGGGCTAGCTTACGTGTATAGACTAATCCCCTTGGCGACCACGAATGGCCTGAAATCATCACGATGAACCTTCATGGACACAAGGGTTTTGGCACTTGTGAATTCGAACCCGGGCTAAAATGAGATTATAGTTGTGCGTTGTGTCTTTGCTAATAAGGTAAGCTTACCATGTTTTCTATATGTCATCTACTTTGATTATATGTTTGTTTGATATGACTTATAATTGTTTCTTCTTATTTCCAGAGTGAATACATATCATTTTCATTTGTATATCTTCTATCTCTCTTGAATATATATATATATATATATATATATATATATATATAGCCATGTTCAAATGTTAACCAAAGTTTTTTTTGTTAACTTTGTTAACCGAGTTTGGTCATTCAATCTTTCAATAAACGGTTGTGATTAATCATGATAAAAACTTGTTTTTTTAAATTTAAAATTTCATAAAAATAAGTGAACAAAGTTGAAAAGGGTATTTAGGTAAAAAAAAAATTATGTAACTCCCATATCATTAATTGGGAGATACAAATTCAAAAAATTATATAATTTTTGTTAATTTATTTTTGTTAATATAATAACCATATGAACACAACTATATATATATATATATATATAGGGTATATTTCTTTTACAACCTTGTGCATTTGTACAACCTTTGCAACCCAATTAATTGAGATATTTATAGAAATGATTGGAG